CTCAAAGCGCTCACAGCACGTGATTTACACTGGTTCAAAATTCATCACGCGCGGCGGTGAATAACCGCTCGTGTTTTTATGAACGTAACTCTAACCATGAAAAAAATTAATGTAATAAAAGTCAACCATAAATGTACATGTATGTGGATGTATGTGGGTATAGAGGTAATGATAATGATGATAATAATGATGTCAATAATGATAATTATGATAATTATGATTATTATGATAATAATCATGATAATGATACAATGCACATAGTATAGGTCTCACGCGAACGTTTGGAATAATAACTCAATTTCAAAGTACGTATTTAAACTACATGTTTATCAACAGACCTTGGTTTCAAATCGTAGACATTGGTATGCAACCTGTTATAATAAAATGTCATGTTCTTTCGTTTTTCAAATTTATATTCCTAAACATCCAGATCAAAATTATTACTTTTAAGTCACTCATTTCACGGCAAAAAATGTTTACAAAATTTTCAATCAGAGTAATTTTTCACACACCCTTTTTAAAAATATTATAAACACACCCTTTTACTTCATGGTAAACATCATTTTTCGTCTTAAAGACAATTAGAACAAGCACCCTCCCTGTACAGCAGGGGACTGCTACTCCCGTGGCCGGTGTACTGCCTATAATGTCGTATACAGGGAGGATCCAGCCGAAAGGGATACCATTTGTCAATAAAAACTATACAACAGGGTTATAATTTTTCTGTCAAAAATAGTATATATAAAAGGGTGACTGTGGGGTTGGACCTATAAAAGTTTGTTGTATACCCACCCCCACGCCCCGGGCTACTGCTAGGCTTAAAATATCAAACAACGTAAAATCTAATATCTGTTTTTTCGTATCAGTCGAAAAATCTTAACACAATTCTGTTGCAGCAGTCCTTTTGTCATTCTTCTATATTACGATTATACACCTCTATTGGGTTCCATTTAGGACCGCCCTCCGGCTAATTATATTTTGTCAGTAAACAGCCTTTCTTGTGTCGGAACAGGCAACAAGTATCCCCTAGTTATGCTTGTAACGATACAAAATTTAGTTATAACTTACCCTGCCTTAAGGCCTGTTTTGATTTATTATTTTGTTGCATTAGCAAGGTGTATACAGAATACCGTCGATCCTGTTAGAGCCGCCTCTTGACCTAAGAGCTGTAACTAAACTTGGTTCGTCTATTACACTAGTATAAAATATGAAATTTGTACATGAGCTCAGGTTGTGGCTTGTCACCATTAATTTCTATTGTCGGAAACTTTGATACTACATTGATATATCCCGGCTAGTTGATTATGTGCCTTTGGGCGACCCTATTTTTAACCGCGCGCAATACAGACCGAATGATCGACTGTCAGGAAACCATCATTCTAGTGTCGCGCACAACGCTTTGATTGGCTTCTGGGAAGTCTTAAAAAGAATTATCAAAGGTCCTTAAACAGGTGCGTGATTCTTTCAATACAGCAACTCATTGAGCCAAGACTGAAAAGATATTTTTATTACTGGGGGTGAAGAAATAAATCCTGCATTTTTGGTACGTATTTCAAGTATTATTCAACAGTTTTCGTTTAATTTTACACTCGTTGACTCGTTGTCTTGCTATTTTTCATACTGATATACTAATAAATTATATAATGTGTAAAAAATATATTCTTTTTTTAGGGTGAAGTTTATTGAGAACTTAAGCGAAGAAAAGCTAAGCTAAATATACAGCTAAATTTAAGAAAATCGTTTCACTGGTCGGACGGTTTTGGTATTAGTTTGTTCTCTTAACAGGCTAACAAGATGGCAGGAAAATTACCATTCCTCTTATTGCTTTTTGTTGTCGTCACTGTGATGAAGGTGGCAAGTTACAAAAACAAAGGTAAAACATTTTTCCATCTTCTTTAGCGCTTAAAAGTGCAGCTACAACGGGATACCGTTATTTTTTTAAATCTCCCCAGAAAATTAGAAATTGGCTGAAAATAAATCGAGATGAGTCTGTACAGTGCTGTCGACTGAGGAAGGAAATCTGTTTTGGTTTTAAATACATTAACTGACCAGTTCAATTATAACTGCATGAGGGCCTCACGATTCTACTGTTACTTTTTGCAAATGCTAGACGGAGTCGCATGCCGTCATTGTAATTCACATTGAATTCCTTGTGAACCATGGTTGCAATTTGTGAGAAGAGGAATGTAACCTGTTAAAATATAATTGCACTCAACGTCTAAGCAATATTACATTTTTTTAAAAAGGAATGATATTGACTTTGAGCACTTAGTTCGAGGTTAACATGTATAATCAATTTTGTTAACTTTTCAAGTATGACACAAAGAGTATTAATCTGAGGCAAAATTTATGAACTGTAATTAAAGTTTACTGAAAATAGTTCATTCACTTCAGATGGCAATTAAGCAATAGAAAACGTTTTCCGTGTTTGCAAGGCCTGATATAAACACGAGACGGGTTGGGAGAATTCGAGACGGTTATGCAAACCCGAGACGAAGTAACGAGGGTTTGCATAACTGTCGAGAATTCGTCCAACGCCTCGAGTGTTTACATCAGGCTATGCAAACACAGGAAAAACGTTTTCTATTGCTTTTATAAAATAACTTTCCCGAAACAAAACGCAAAACACTGATTAAAAGAGAAATTCTTACCAGTCGCAAAGTCTTGTCCACGAAGTCTTGCACGCGTAATCATTTCTTGTTTTCCAAAAAGATGCTTTCCGAAATGCGGACTTTTCTCGCTTGAAATGTCAGCTTACGAAAATATTGACGCACTTTCTTTGTAACGATTTTCCAAGTTTCAGCCGACGAAGGAATGGGTAAATAAAGTAAACTTGTCGAGTTTTGAACTCGAAAACTTTTTCAAATTCGTGCTTACGTTATTAGCGCTCGAAAAGCAAAACATCTTGACGCTACACCCATGTTTACATACTCTCATGCAAACACTGCTCTCGACCAATCAGAGCACCCGTACTATTTTAGTTATTTTGTAAAAGATGGTGTTCCACAATCAGTGACAAAAATAGTTGACACACTGTCGCAGTTGTTAAAACGCACGCTTTTATCAACAATTTCATCCATTTATCATACAATTCTTTTAAACAGAATTCGATGGTTAGTTGCTTCTTGAAGCATTTTATTATACTTAAGATTCGATTCTAACGGTTCTCTCTCTTGATATGACGTTCAAAAACATCGAAACATCGCGGGTTTCCTTCTGTTCATGCTCTCTGGTGTCGCAATTTTGGCCCGGCCGGTCCATTTTGAAAGTGATGAGCGGCGGTACGTTTCAAATATTTCAGGATGGTTCAGTTAAGGAGTGTTAGTTTTGGGTTTGCCTTTTTTACAATGCTTCTCGATAGCAGTACAATACAGTCTAAGCGTTACTGAAGATTATTACCAAACAACTACGACCTTTCAGGTCGTAATGCACCTTGCCGTGGATTCCGGATTCCAGTTACCGATTCCAGTTTTTGTGAGTGGAACTTGGATCTGGATTCTAACCGTCATTGGCCGGGATTCCGAATTCCTTGAGCTGTATTGCGGATTCCAAAGCCCAGGAGTCTTGATTCCACTGGCAAAATTTTCTCAGATTCCGGATTCCACATTCAAAAATTTCCTGGATTCGGGATCCCCATTCCCTTACATGGGGCGAGTTGATAGTGTTCTACATTGTTATTTAAATTTATTTATCACCAATCGACTTGAATTAAAAATGTCCCCTGAGAAAAAACACAAACCTCTCGAGGGGCAAACTTAGCTCAGGTTCGCGAATAAACGTCCAAGCATAGTTATTAGAGGAGACTGGTTATGAAAAGCGGCAAACATTAATGATAAAAACAACAGTACTGCAGTTTATGTTGGAAGCACCCTGAAAGTGCACAATCCTTTGTTTTCTGTTGGCAAATTGTTACGGAATAAATTAATGCTTGCAAAAATAACCAGTTATGTTAGTTTTACATAGGAATTCTTTTGAACGTTGTGCACTTTCAGGTCCACAAAAACATATAACAAAGGAGTCTGACGGGTTTCATAACCATTCTACTCAATTAACTATGGTCCAAGTAAAAGAGAAGAAAACAGAGATGAGAACTTGCAGGATGAGCGGAAAACAATCGGTGGGGCTGAGTATACACAAAAAATCGCGAAAAGAGCGAAAATTATAGAAGCTTTGGCTGAAAAGTACCCGTGGCTGCTTTATGACTAAGATGGAAATTTCATGCATTTCGCGTTTGTGCACAAGCTTAGAAGTCTAACAAAATGGCTGAAGAGGGGGTTCAGTGCAGAATTTTCAGAATTGTACGTTCCTTTGTCATACAGCTGGTCTTCAAGAATGCTAAATGGCACTTTTAAAAGAAGGCGGAGGATCTAAACGATCCATGAACTCAAATTTAAGAGATATCCTGTGAAATTTATTCAGATTTTCCCAGACGCACTCTTTTCTTGGTGAAGCTAAAATTATTTGTTCGAGCTTAGCTTTTCCCGTGTACATGTTATAACTTTGTTCAGAAAAAAAAAGGCAAATCTCTAAATTGTCTACGTATTATTTTTCAATGTACGAGGGTGTAAATGCAAATGTGAAAGATTCCTTTTATATGAATAAGTATACTAAGTGTGAATAATTAGGTAAAGGTAAACGAAACTTGCCTATATTTATTAGTTGTATTATCTGATGTATCACCATGTATACATGTTGTGGTTTCATTTTATCGTTTGTTAAATTTTCTTTTCAGTTTTTTTGTGGTATGGTAATGCATTAAAAGGTCTTAAGACAAAGAAAAAAGTGTACTACAGCATATATTTACAGCCTTTTTATCGAACTAAGGTTAGCATTAAAACATAATAATGGTACACAATGAGCTACCGATGACTGTACTATTTTAGTTTTTACTATTTTACTATTTTACTATTTTAGAAGAGAACGGTCGTTAATCATAAACTTTCTTCTTAGTTGCCTTGCAATTATCGTAAACGGATATTAAAAAAACTTAACAAGGCACTTTAACGGGCGTGAAGATGAAAAACATTGGCATTTTGTCCTTGCTGACATTTAAGTAATGCCAGGAGAGACTTCCTGAACTCTGGAATTCTGATTGCGTAAACGGTGGGATTAACAAGCGAGTTCATGACAAATAGAACCTTTAAAGAATAATTCAAACGAAATGATTCCTCGGGAGAAAGGCGGGACATCCAGCTGCTAGCGCTAGAATGAATAAAAATAGCAATAGCGGCATGTGGTAACCACATTAGCAAGGAAACGATAGTCATTATGAATAATGTTGCGGTCAGCTTCCTTTCTCTGCTTGCTGCACCATGGTGCTGAGGATGCGCTGCACACGAAAATTTAACAGCAATGGAGGAGTAAGAAACACAGATAACAATTAGACACAAACAACACCAGGATTGCCACACGTAAATATGGTACGACCATTTTCCCCAATATTCTGCAAGTAATGCAGAGGTAGTTGATATTATTGCAGCTAAAACCCAGACACCAGCAATTGTTACCCTGTAGACCCACTTTTTGACGACACGATAACTGAAGGGACAAATTGTTGCATACATTCGATCTAATGAAATTGCTGCAATATTTGTTAGAGAAGTCAGAGTTGGCCAATAGATTAGAAATTCAGCGGTACGTACCAGATGCAGGGATAAGTTCATTTTCACAATGTCGCAAATGAAGTCTAGGCCGGCAAATAAATAAAAGTTAGAAAATCCTCCGACAAACATATCAGCTACGGTCAGGTTTATAACTAGGTACATAGCACGAGTGCGAAGACTGCCGTTTTTTTATAAAAAGTACGATTGTTAGGAGGTTCACTGTTACTATAGCAGCAGACACTGTGAGGAATGCAGCAAGCCAGGTGATGCATTCGGATGAAGAAAGTGTCATGGTTTCTTTTCTTTTCGCCTCACACTTTTAAATCCTGTTTTCTTGCTGTTGCTTGTCTACCTTTAGAAATAATTAAAAAAACAAAACAAAACAAAACAAAACAAAAACAATTGGTTAGTAGTTAGCAAAGAACAGCAAGAAGGTGAACATAGAAGGTTGACGTCAGTTTCTAAAAGATCGGTTATAGGCCGGAGATACATTAACAACAATTCCTCGTGAAAACACCCACCTTAACTTAAAATTTTTCACTGACATATGCCGTCACAAAAGCGAAGTGAAAAGCTTTGCAGTCAACTTAGGAAGAAAATCAGAAAATCAGAAGCGCGTAAGGAGACATAATAAGGATGAACTGGTTGACTGTAGAAGAAAATACCGCGCGACGGAAATTAAGATGAAATGGTTGACTAAAAGCTGAGGGCAATAAATATTTTATTTTTAGCTGAGTATTTTTAAATGATTAACGTCGGCTCTCGATCACCTGAGTATCCGAATAAATTTTTGAACGAGCAAAAACAAACAAGGAACCGCCTGTCCTTTACGGAACTCGTGCACGTTTTTTAATTTGCTCGGATACAAACAGGAGTGTACAGGTAAAAAATAAGTGTCTACTGATGTAGTAGTTTCATGAAAATGACGACAATTTAACCCTTCAAACACCATTCATCTCTAAAAAAATAATATTGCGAAAAAACGCTTTGATCTGCCAATCGGAAAAAAATTAACACTTAACGATTTCAAGGATGGAAGTAAGAAAGTAGATCTGACTTTAAAATGCCTGACAGGCTCGACAATGAATTTTATTCAACATGGAGAAAAATTTGTTTCAACAGGAAATTTAGGGTTGAATATTTAAATTAACGGCAAATTTAAATTCATGAGATAATGAGAACTTGCTTGCCTTACCCCTATATATCTTTTTAAAGGTTATTATTAAAAAATACGTCTTGACGTTGAACAGCGAATGGTCAAAGAATTTTCATAGCTAAAGTAAAAAAGAAAAAGAAACCAATCCTGCTGATTTTCCTTATGTGGTTTTCGCATCAAGGACTTGGGATAAATATCAGTTCCTAAAGATAAATATGTCTGTCGTTCTTTTACTTAAAAATTTAAGAAAAATAACGCTTCACTGCGTGCATGGTACCATTTTGTTTTGCTGTTTTTCTTGTTTATATAACTGACCTTTCAAAAAATGATGTGCTGGATTTCTCCACTGATGAAGCAAAAAAAATATATATTTGGAAAATATCAGTTAGCCTTGTAAAAAACGTCTGCGTTGGTCGTTATATTTACTACGCAGAACAATAAAATTCCCTAGATTTATTTAAGCAATAAAGCACACTTTGTATAGGTTTAGCTGTGTGATAACCGAGCACGCTGGATGTTAGGAGAACACGAGAATGAAGCTTGTAAATCACAAACCGAAGGAGAGTGATTTTCCATCTTTTCGAGTGTTCTCCCAACATCTTAAGCACGGGTTATTACGACGGTAAACTCATAGAAAGTATGGTTTATTGGTTTTCTCAACTAACTTTGAGAAAAAGCGATTCTCATAGGCAGAAAATGTGGTTTTAATACCGTGATCAAGTCGTGTGTTCTCTCTAAGATCATCATAAGTTAATTATAATGAATACGTTGATGGTTTGTTTAATTTAGAAGATTGAACATCAAATTGTACGCAGGTGTGTTTTGTTGAGTCGCTTAGCAAGTTTACGTTCAAGAACGGAACTACCAGCGATTTTTTTTTCAATATTTATCCAGGAGCATCCAATTTAGCAGAGTCAGTTTTACTGTAGCGTGCGGGGGTACTTAAGACTTAAGGACTTTTTGGGTGGGGATGTGCCGCTGGGACCCTGGAACCCTTAGCCTATACCAGAGCTAGTTCAAGAGAATTTTATAACCCTATACTAGACGAAACTCCCCAAATCCCCCCTATCCTAGAGTAGCTGTTTTTCAGAAACAACTGAGGTCACTAGCACAGTCCAGCCAAAACAAAACCGATTTGATTTTTTATATTATTGAGTGGCAATTCCCGGTTTCCCTAGTCTAGACTTAAATCATCAGCCAATTGATAAGTTTAAATGGAAAATGATACCCTCTTCTAGACCAAAACTCTCTGATTTATTTACCCTAAGAGATCGACCTTCAACAAGACAGGCGGCACGTCTGTTTAGTATATCAAGATAATATGTAATCCCAACCCCACAATTGTCCCAGACAGACGAACAGTTGTCGAACCATAGCAAGACTATAGCATTTTAGTAAAATGCAACTAGTAGTCTATTATCAATGGTGCGTTCTGATTGGTTGAGCTACTACTATGCTATATGTTATAGCCCACTAGTAGCGAAAAGCGCGGGCTTTTTGGCGGCAAAAAAGGATTAAAGTCTAGCTTTTACCAGCTAATTTTTTTTAATTTTCTCGATATTTTTGACCAACTAGTTGGCTTTCCTAAAACAATTATTCCTCTCGCCCTCATGGCCTCTGAGTCAATAGCCCATTCGGGCTCGAGGGATAATTGTTAAATAGAGCATTAGACAATTAGATTTGGGAAGAACCTTACGCGCTCGACGCGGAATACCCAGTCTAGACGAAATCTTATTGCCAATATACTCTACATGGTCCTTCTAGGAAAGGGTGTGGTCTAGGAGTACCCTAAGATACCCTATCTAAGCGTGTATTACTGATACATGTATCTATCACTAGATCTTCAGCCGATGCGGTCCTCTCATGAGTACCAACAAGCATAATCTTAGTTTTTTCAAGATTAAGTATTCGATAATTTGCGTAAAGCCAGCTAAGGACATTAGTTAGGCCACTACGGTCTCAATTAAATCACCTGCACACCAGCTGTTTTGGAAAATATTGCACTAAGGAGTGAGCTTACCTAAAATAATTGCCTTGCCCATCAATTTTACTTGGGCGGGGCGCTAAGTAAAGGTTAGGCGACGGCCAAATTAGCTTCAAAGTTGCAATATGCGGGCAGATTGCAATATCCAAATATGTATCCTAATATTTATTGAGGTAAAAGGAGCGATAGGAGAAATGAAACAAAGAACATGGGCGGGACCGGAATACTCGGGGTCTTAAAATGACTTATTAAGAATAAGACACTCGGCTTTTTCCCGTAGAAGGCTGCATAAATAACTATGGTTTATTTATACTCGGTAAATATTCAGGCAGTTTTAAAAGGTACTGCGAAATAAAAAGGATAAAAGGCCGACTACAAATGCTTACCTGGTTTACATGATTGCTGTGCGCAAAACCGAAAATAAGGAAGCTAACCGGCTAGACGTTCACGCGACTTGGATGATCACGTAGAATGAACGGTGCTGTTTCCCTCTGGTACATTATGATAAAAAGGTCTGCAACACACTGGGGACCCATGGCAAACTGTGTGAGTGCTTGCTCATTTCAACTTATGGAATGTATTGGAATATAGAGAGGTTGGCAAGTCGCCATTTACACGTCTTTCATAATACACCTTGTTTGTCTTTCAAAATTTCGCATGAGCTTTGGTTTTAATTACAATCGTCCCAAGAGAAATTGAAGACAATTCTAACGCAAATATTGGGGGTGGGGGACAAGGTTTTATTATGGAAGTTGTGCAAATGGTAAATATCCTGAAATACTCTTATGGAAGTTCTAAAACACCATTCTTTTCGTTTTGTTTTGTTTTTAGAAGGCAGTTGCGACCTGAGTGGTGGTGATCGATTTGAATGCGGTTGGCTTGGAATTGATGAAGCTACCTGTCTCAGGAGAGGGTGTTGCTGGAACAGCAGCGAACCTGACACTACCTTCTGTTTTGTAAAGAAATACCAAGGTAAGTAAAAATAGTTATAAAATAAATCCTTACTTGAAATCGTTGTTATTGATCATTGGGATCAATTTAGGTTTCTGGAAAAACGCCCATCTACCCCTCCCCTAAGCCAACGTTAACGCTTAATTCACGCTTATTTCAAAATGTTGGCTTAGGGGAGGGGTAGGTGAGCAGTTTCCCAGAAACCTAAATTCATGATCCGATCTCTGTAAATGACACAGGGACCCAAGGGCTTCAAAGCTGTCGATAGGCGTTGCAGTTTCCTTATGAAAACTCAGGCCTCGGTAGTGGCACATCCAGGGGAAGCCCCCCTTATTTTAAGACCACACTAAGGCGCGAAGGAAAATATTTTTTGGAAACGGCTCCGGGCCTCCCCTTATCTGAAGGTCTGGATCCGACCACTGCTCGGTAATGTTCAAACGTCGGATAGCGCTATCCAAAGGATAAATCACTATCCAGCGGATAAGTATTGGGGAAAACCGAATTGTGTTATCCATTGGATAGAGATTTATCTGGTGGGTAGCGTTATCCCCGGTACCCGTTTCTCAAGTCCCGGTGCGGGTTTTTGGGCCCATAAGGCAAACTTTAAAATCAAAACCTGTGGAATAGTAGCACAGTTCCAAACCAGTCAATTTTGTTTTGTTGTAATAGCTTCATTAATCCAAAAACTACTAAAACGATAATGTAAACATTACAAGCCCAAAACGGCTCTTCGGGCCTGAAAAGTTAAGGGAAGTTACTAGCCCCTGGAGTCTAATGGACTAAAAGTCTCGAATTTCAAATATTAGCTTATCTTTGTAACTTCTGAGAAAGCAAGTTTTGGGTTTCTTTTTTAAAACGTCCGTGACGGAAGACAGAGAACAGAAATAAGAGAATTTTATTATCTGGGGCCCGCTTTGCTGTCTTCTCGGGGACTAGCAACATTGCCGTTGGGCAAAAATTTCGCGTCTTCCTGGCTTATTTGACTAAATGGCGTGCTTATTTAGATGCGGTTCCAAAGATCTCTTCTCCCTGAACAAGCTGGGTGTCATAAATACCTGTGATGTGATCGTT